CCATTATGACAATCCATCTTCTTGGGGTCTTCCTCTTTTTTGCTGACCCTCCACTTTACCAAGCATGATTCTCCTTCTCCAGGGCCAGGTCCCTTCTGATAACGTGTCCAGCATATGAGAGACAAGTCTCACCATCTTGGCTTCTAAATATAGTTTGTTGTTTTTAAGTGCTGTTGAGTCTATTCCAACTCATGGTAACCTCTTGTAGGATTTCCAAGGAGTGACTCTTGGGTTTAAACTTCTGACCTTGTGGTTAGCAATCCAGTGCTTATCAAAGTAGTTGGTGGATATGTGCCATGGAGTTGGTTCTGAATCATAGCGACCCTGTATAGGGTTTCCGAAACTGTAAATCTTTACGGGAGCAGAATGTCTCATTTTCTCCCTCAGAACAACTGATAGTTTCAAACTGCTGACCTTGAGGTTAGCAGCCCAACTTAAATCTATTGGTAAATGGTAAATTATCATTTATAAAACCAAGGTTTTTTGTGTTGCTATGGATAATCTACTAAACTGTTAGTAACAGTGATGACTAGATATATACCTGAAATATTAAAGATGTTACCCAATTCAGAGATCCACTTAGAGTGTATGTAGTCAGACAGTTTACTTGGGGGAACTGGAAGTAAGTTAAATCTTTGTGGAAGGGTAGAATTTTAGGGATGGCATTTTTTTAAAGACAGAGGGCTTTTTATTTTAAGGTTTTTATTGTGGATTGATTGAACGTTTACAGGACAGATCATCAGTTTTACATTCAACAAATCATACACCTTGTTTCATTACAGTGATTATAATCCCCTCCATGTACCATCAGTTAACAGTAGTTTTCTCTATTCACTTTAGCTCTTTTTTGTTTTAATCACTCAGACATATATAATAATTTATACCACCAAAGGACACATTCTGCAAGTCTTAGTCCCTTTCTTCCCATGAATCTAAACTCATCAGCTGCTCCCTCTCTCCATGTCCCCATCTTTGCCTCCACCTCTGGTATCACTGCTTCTCTGGATAAGGTCTCACATTCCATTTGTGATCTTCTTCCTTGATGGACCTAGGGTCCTTTGTTTCTGGACTGTAAGATTAAATACTCCCCCATTTTTGTTACAAAACTTCTACCTTTACAGTTGTCACAGTTGCAATTAGTCATGCTAACAATTACTCACTATTAAATCATAAGAATCTTATCCCCATCTCTTTTAACCAGACCCATCTAGACAAGATGAAAACTACTCAGTGATGACTCTTTTTGCCCCCCATACTCTTAAACTACCCCCCTTGAAACCTTGTAATCCAGTCACTTTGTGCTTTTATCACCCCCTCATTTTAGGTAGCCATTGTCTAAATTGTCCATCCCTATCTACCCTGTGTACAGAGAGGATAGTATTGATACTTGAGGTGAAGACTCCTTCCCTCTCTGTTGGTATTTACAGTTACTACCTCCATAAATATAAGTCAGGTTCATCAAATTGTAGCAATTTACTCTCATTTCCTTTATCAAAATTTGTTTTGCTCTTTTTTTTTTTTTGTCTTCCTCTAGTCGACTTCTGATTATCAAGCTATCGAAGCTAGGTCAAATGGTTACTATCTGTAACTTTGGTTGCTCTTCTGCACCTCCTGTCACTTCATATCAGCTGGATGCTTCAGTCTCAGCTCTAGCCCCCTGTGACTATGTCCTTGTCCATGGGCTCAAGTGTCCTCAGGTCTCACCACACTTTGGACTACCCAGCCCTTCCTCTTTTCTTTCTCATCTCCAGGTCAATGGGAGTCTGTGGAACGTGATTGAACTTAGCCCATTTCTTCATTGCTGCCTTTCCCCATCTTCCACTCAACAGTAGACCAATGTGGTCATCAGTAAGCTTACATGACTGCTCATGTGTTCACCATGAGCTTCAGTCAAACAAGGGGGTAGACAGAGGGGTTTAACAATGATGGTTTAGCTATGAAAACACTCATGAATGTTTGGGAACTAATTGTGATATTTAATATTTATTGAAGGAGGGCCACTGTGGCACTGTAAGATGAGAACTATACTGCTAACCATAAGGTCTGTAGTTCAAATTCACCAGCCACTTCTAGGAAACCCTATACAGGGTTGCTATGAGTCAGAATAGATTCAACTGCACTTAACAATAACAACAATATTTATTGAAAGAGCCTTGTGTTAAGTATTGAACTTCCAACTGCAATGTCTGTGGTTCAAATCCACCAACAAGTTCCATGGATGAGAGATGAGGCTGGCTACTCTCATAAAGATTTACAGTCTTGTAAACCTAGTGGGACAGTTTTACTTTGTCCTGTTGTTGTTGTTGTTAAGTGCCATCGAGTCGGTTCCGACCCACAGCGACCTTGTACAGGGTTTCCGAGGGTGTAAATCTTTACGGGAGTAGAAAGCCTCATCTTTCTCCCGCGGAGCGGCTGGCAGTTTCGAACCACAAACCTTAAGGTTCGCAGCCCGATTCGTAACCACTACGCTACACTTTGTCCTATAGGGTTGCTAAAAGTCAGAATTAACTCACTGAAATAAGTAACACTTACTGAGTATTCCTGGCTGAATTCTAAGCATTTGTATGTGTTTAATCCATTTAATACTCACAACAATCTTACAAGCCAAATATTCTTAATTTCTCATTATACAGAGTTAGAGATTGAGGCATGGAAAAGATAAACAACTTGCCCGGCATCACAGAACTAGGGCTAGAACTATGATTTGAGCCCCAGTGGCAGGCTGTCTCAGACCTTCAGTCTGTGCCTATAGACAACTTCTAGTCACCATTTGCTATCTTGTCTATGTGCCAGACACTGTGAGCTAAGCATTGATGTACCTTTTCTTATTTAATCCTCACAAGAATCTTACGAGTTAGTTATTATTTGAGAAAAGAGAAAATTAAGATTTACTGGTCTAGATTATGCAACTTGAAAAGAACAGAATCAGGATCTGAACCTAGGCTGTATCATATACTTTCAACATCTCTGCTATCAGATTAATTGAAGCAAAGGATTTATAATATGGATCCCTAGAGAAAATGATTAGAATCTTGTGGACTCCTTCTCTATCACATAGGGTCCTATGAGTTGTAATCAATTCAGTGGCAGCTAACAACAAGCTGACAAAGGTCAGCTATAAATGACTTTTGAGCAAATATTTTATATTTGAGATGCAGTTTCCATTCTTGGATACTCAATAATTTGAATGAATGAATAAATGAATATAAAGCTGAGTGAGAATGCCTAGTTCAACAGCCTCTCCTTCCAGGCCTTCAGAGTAACATGGATCACCAAAACAACACAAAACAAAACACAGCTAACCTGAAACAAGATTGTTTATTTTCTTTAAAGCATTCACCTGCTATGAGTGTTCTCTTCCTTGGATCAGTCACAATATGCTAAGCTGTGATTCTTTGATTTGCTGATCTACACTTTTGAAGTTTTGGATAACTGAGTTAGACCACAGAGTTTCTTCATTCTATTTTGTAGTAAATATCTTGGTATAACAATATGAAAGGATACAGGTACACTTAAGTGGCTCATTCAATAATCCATGACCTTTTGAATTCTCACTATATCTAATCTTAGTTTATCTAGGCTGTAGGTTCAAATTAATATTATATATATATATAGAGAGAGAGATTTGTTGTTGTTATGTGCCATGAAGTCAGTTCTGACTCATTGTTGTTATTGTTGTTGTTAAGTGCTGTCAAGTCGGATCTGACCCATAGTGACCCTGTACAGGGTTTCTGAGACTATAAATCTTTACGGGAGCAGAAAGTCTTATCTTTATCCCGCGGAGCAGCTGGTAGTTTCGAACTGCTGACGTTAAGGTTCGCAGCCCGATTCATAACCACTACACTACCAGAGTTCCTTATAGTGTACATATAAATATATATATGTGTGTATGTATGTATAATATATGTGTATATGTATATATACACATATAAATACATATATATTGAATTAAATATATATGTTAATTAAATTTTTTTACTTTTAAAATATTTTTCTAAAAAATTATATCCTCATCTCTAATGTTGCTACAGAATCTTAGGCCAAATTTGTATCAAAACTCATTTGCTCTGTTTTTTCTGTGAGTGAGATCCCTTTAAAATGGGGTGAGAAGCATGTAGGGGACATTTACACTCCTCTCTCTACTCATAGTCTCTGTTGTAAGACTTAACATTCATCTCAAGTCCTTTCATGTCTCAACATAAGGAAACTGACAAAGTGAGGAGAAACAGGCCCTTCTCTTTGGTTATTTGTGTTCCTGCTTTGCACATGTGGGCTTACAGGGGACAACATTGCATATGTAGCAATATGAATGCGTCATATTTTCTTCTTCTTTCTGACCAATACTTTTCCTGGGTCTAGTATGAAATGAAGTATAGACACCTTTTTTTCCCCTTTCCCTTACTAAGTCAGTTAGTTGTTGTTTTCACAAATTGCTCTTTGAAAGAACTTGTTAACAGAAACTTTCTCCTTAAAGGATCAGCTTATCTTCTAAAGGGAGGGGTGTACAGTACTGGGAAACAATTTAAGAAATACTCTGAATGGGAAGAGTGCTGTTACATTATGGAGACTGCAAAACAAACAAACAAAACTGCTAGGAGGTCAAACACAGGATCTGTTCTACCATTTCAAAATTTAGCAGTGTAATATATTTGGTATACATTTTGAATAAATATTGCTTTACATTATCCTTTGGTTTTTCTATTATTTTTAAAAGGATAATATCCCCATCCAAAAGTAATTTGCAATTAAACATTTGGATGATATAGGTTGACATTGTAAAATAATTTGTCCTTCCCTCTCTGTTGCAGCCCTGTTATGTTATTCAGTGCCTATAATTAACACATTTCTCCTGCTGATCCACCCTGAAGGAGGCTAATCCATCAGGGTAGAGAGAAAATAATAAGAAAATTAAGATGAAAATAAATTATTCTGATTGTCTAATTTAACCCTACAAACCATTTCTCTTCCTGCTTATGGTTGCTTTTGTTTTTGTTTTATAGGGATCGAGCCCCTTTTATATTTACTTCAGAGATGGAGTACTTTATTACAGAGGGTGGGAAAAACCAACAGCATTTCCAAGATTTTGTAGAGCTTTGTTGTCGAGCTTATAATTCTGTCAGAAGGCACAGCCGTCTACTCTTGAACCTGCTAGAAATGGTAAGTCCCTGGGGAAATAACAACAATAATAAGCTTCGTTTATATCCCCTTTTCAGTATTCTATTTTTGCTAATGGCTGGGAGGTCCCCAAAGAGCTATTCAAAACAGAAAGGAATGAGCAAACTAAAAGTACCATTATGCAGTTTATAAACATATTTCTTAATAATTCAACACAATAGTATACAGTTATTGCCTCAAATATTCCTATTTTCCAAAATAGTGATGGATTCAGGGGTCATCTCAGTATATTTTGACTAAGGATTAAGAATAGTAATTTTGAAAATACTGCCTTTGGTTGTACTGTGCCTTAGGATTTTTTCAAAAGTGCTTTAAAGATACTACTATCTCATTGATACATCATGTCAAGACAATGAGGTAGCTTAAACAAGAATTTTTTTTCTTACTTTTCCCAATCTCTACTTTTGATCCCCTGCCAATAGTCCAAATTAAGAAAACAAGGGACAATAATATGTGATTTTGTTACTGACTCATGGGGGAATAGTACAGTTAGTAATATACATCAGGTCTACTGAATCATGGTTCTATAACACCTTAGGGTCAACAAGGACAAATGAAATGTTTCATATCACTGTTCATCCCAAAGATATGGAAACCAAAGTTGCAGGGAGAGAGACAGAAAATTTGGTAGAAATATCTTATGGGTAACAGATGTGGTGATTCCTCTGGTCACAAATTTGCAATTTGTAATTGCAGTGAATTATAGGATAGAAACATACCAATGACTTAGTAATATGGGGTTTAGAGTCATTACTATCACCAAAATACTGCTTTAAAGTCTTCATATAACAATAATTTTACTAAATGTTATAAAGAACACAGGCTTAACAAGGCCTTTCTATGTTTGAATTCTATCTGGTTTTGACAGTATTGGCTACCTTCCCCTGGATAGGTTACTTAACCCTCTTATGATTATTTCTTCACTTTTAAATAATTGTAATAGTATCTATTGTGTAGGGTTAAAGTGATAGCTAAATGACCTAATGTTGTTGTTGTTAGGTGCCATCGAGTCAGTACTGACTCATAATGATCCTATGTACAACAGAATGAAACATGCCTGATCCTGGGACAACCTCACAATAGTTGCCACGTTTGAGCCCATTGATGCTGTCACTTGGCCAATCATCTCGCTGGGGCTCTTTCTCTTTTTCTTTGACTCTCCACCTTACCAAATATGATATCCTTCTCCAGTGACTGGTCCCTCCTGAAAATATGTCCAAAGTATGAGAGATGAAGCACTCTGTCTGCATTTCTTTCAAGACTGATATCTTTGTGCTTTCGGCAGCCCATGGTACGTTCAATATTCTCCTCTAACACCATAACTAAAAAGCATGAATTCTTCTATGGTCTTCCTTATTCACTGTCCAGCTTTCACATGCGTATGAGGTTATTGAAAATGCCATAGCTTGGGTCAAGTGCACCTTACTACTCAAGCTGACTTTAAAAAGGTCTTGTGCAGCAGATTTGTCAAATGCAATAAATCGTTTGATTTCTTAACTTCTGCTTCCATGAGTGTTGATGGTTGATCCAAGAAGAATGAAGTCCTTGGCAACTTCAATCATTTCTCCATTGGTAAGAATGTTGTTTATTAGTCCAGTGGTGAGGATTTTTGTTTCTTCACATTGAGATGCAATCCATACCAAAGGCTGTGGTGCTTGATCTTCATCAGTAAATATTTTAAGCCCTCTTCACTTTCAGAAAACAAGGTTGTATCATTTGCATGTCCAAGGTTGTTAATGAGTCTTCCTCCAATCCTGATGCCATGTTTTTGTTCATATAACCCAGTTTCACAAGAGCCAAAATATGACCTTGAATATATCCCTGAATTTAGAGATATAATTAGAGAATATATCTGAATTTAGAGCTAATCTGAGAAACAGATTTGATACATTAAACACTAAAGACCAAAGACCAGAGAGTTGTGGGATGACATCAAGAACATCATACATGAAGAAAGCAAAAAGTCATTGAGAAGACAAGAAAGAAAGAAAAAGATCAAAATGGATGTCAGAAAAGACACTGAAACTTGCTCTCCAGTGTAGAGATTCTAAAGAAAATGAAAGAAATGAGGAAGTACAAGAGCTGAACAGAAAATTTCAAAAGTCCGCTTGAGAAGACAAAATCAAACATTACAACAAATTGTGCAAAGATCTGGAGACAGAAAACAAAAAGGGAAAAACAAGCTCAGTATTTCTCAAGCTGGGGGAACTGAAGAAAAACTTCAAGCCTCTACTTTCATTACTGAAATTATTAAATGATGCAGACAGCATAAAAAGAAGATGGAAGGAATATACAGAATCACTGTACCAAAAGGAAATGGTTAATGTTCAGCTGTTTTAAGAGGTAGCATATGATCAAGAGCCAATGATACTGAAAGAAGAAGTCAAAGGTGCATTGAAGGAATTGGCAAAGAACAATGCACCAGAAATTGATGGAATAAAAATTGAAATCTTTCAAGAAAGTGAGGCTGCAGTGAAGGCACTCACGCATCTCTGCCAAGAAATTTGGAAGACAACTATCTGGCTGACTGATTGGAAAAGATGCATATTTGTGCCCATTCCAAACAGAGGTGACCCAATGGAATGTAGAAATCATTGGACAATATCTATGATATCCCATGAGATTAAAGTTTTACTAAAGGTAATACAGAAACGGCTGCAAGCAAGAGGTTCAAGCCAGATTCATAAGAGGTCATGGAATGAGGGATATCATTGCTGATGTCCAATGGATCTTGGCTGAAAGCAGAGAATACCAGAACGATGTTTACCTTGCTTTATTGACTATGCAATGGCTTTCAATTGTGTGGATCATGACAAACTATGGACAACATTGTAAAGTATGAGTATTCCTGAACAGGTAATTGTGCTCCTGAGGAAACTGTACATGGACCAAGAGGCAGTTGTTCGAACAGAACATGGGAACACTGAATGGTTTAAAATTAAGAAAGGTGTGCAACAGTGTTGTTATCTTTCACCATATTTATTCAACCTGTATGCTGAGCCAATGATCTAGTGTTGTTGTTGTTGTTAGATACCATTGAGTCGGTACCGACTCATAGCGACCTTATGCACAGCAAAACAAAACAATCCTGGGCCAACCTCACTACTGTTGTCATGCTTGACTGCTTTATATGGACCTGGCACTGTTTTTCAGGGCTTTATGTGTATTAGCTGATTTACGTTTCTTGAAAACTTTATTTGATAGCAATTGGCACAAAATCTGCCATGAAATTTTAAAAAGTACCACTCAGTGGATTATGACTCAGAGTGATGCAGTGTAGGGTTTCTGAGATTGTAAATCTTTATGGGAGTAGACAGTCTCATCTTCTTCTTATGTAGTGGCTGGTGGGTTTGAACAGCCAACCTTGTAAGTAGCAGTCCAATACCTAACCCACACTGTCACCAAGTTGCCTTAATTGCCATATAGTAATACATAAGAGCACTATCCAGTACAGTATTCTCTACCAAATGTGGTTTTGTGAATTTTAATTAATTAGTATTGGATAAAGAACAAAATTCAGCCTTCAGTCACTAGCTACATTTCAAGTACTCACTAGCAGCTGGCTGCTAGTTATATTGTATTGGAAAGTACAAATATAAAGTATTTCCATCATTGTATGAAAGACCTATTGATCAGGGATTTTGCTATAATGAAGATTTGATTTGTATCCTTTTTTTAAAACTTTCAAATAATACCCATCTTACTTCTTTCCTCTATTCCTTGAAAAATAGGGATTTCTAGAAATGTTACCACATTTCTAAAACCATTTGTACACAAAGATACTTTGGTTTCTTTGTGAGGAAACTGGATACATAAGGCTCTGCCCATCTCCAAAATCTTCAAGTTGGCTTTACAATAATAACCAGACTCTTATTTTTTGATCTGTATCCTGTGTCCCTATTTTGATAGACCATATTGTAATTGTAAGATGATTTAGGGTGCATTATTTGTGTCCACACCAAAAGAAACTCTACAGAGAATGAGCCAATGAACTTGACTCTATTTCATAGTAATTATCTAGACACTATTAAAAAAAAACACAAAAACAAATAAAACCTCTTACAATGCAGTCAATTCTGCTATATCATAACCCCATAGGAAAGAGTAGAATTGCCCTATAGGGTTTCCAAAGCGTACATCTTTATAGAAAGATTGCCACAACTTTGTCCCACAGAGCAGCTGGTGGGTTCAAATCACCAAGCTTTTGACTAACAGCTGAGCTCTTTAACCATCAGGGCTCCTTATCTTGGCACCGTTGTTGTGGTTGTTAAGAGCTGTTGACTCAATTCCAACTCATAGCTACCTTATGTAGTTTTTCCAAGTAGTGATTAGTTGGTTTGAATCACTGACCTTGTGAATAGCAGTCCAGCGCTTATCCTGCAGTGCTTGGATCTCTTATCTAGATACTTCTTGTTGTGCTGTTGAGTAGGACCCAACTCACACTATATAGGGTTTCTGAGGAACAGCTGGTAAGTTTGAACCTCCAACTTTCAGTTCAGACTAAACTTCAGGTTAAGTGCTTATCCTACAGCACCACAATAGGACTCCTATCTAGACACTACCAACTCTAATTTCCTCTTGAGCTCTAGTAGGCTGTAGTTCATGAATCCATCCATGAATTCTTGGATGATTACTATAGATGAGAAAATAACATATGAGACCGCAATCAGAATCTCAAGATCTCAATATAATTATGAAGATAAATTTGTGTGTGTATAACTGGTGTGGTGCTTTATGATAAGCACTGAACTACAAACCCCAAAGTCAGTAGTTCAAATCCTCTAGCTGCTCCTTGGATGCCCTGTACAGTATTACTGAGTTGAAATTGATTCAACACTTTAACAACAACAACTGGTGTCCAGCATTTCTAAATGCCTATAATGCTATAAGTAACTACATGTAAGAGTACTCCCATATCCTAAAAACTGTTTTAAAATAACTGCAGAACTTTAAAAAGTAAACCTAAAGCAAATAATCATACA